TTCTTTATTAAGTGCCACTTTCAGGGCAATAAAAAGATTGGCTCCGATTTATAGTCCCTCTAATATCACCTGCACTGGACCTCTAAGTTGACAGAGAAAGAGATGAAGCTTTTAATTGGACGCATCGCTCCATCTGCCCGCAACACTGAAAACTTAATTTGCCTTTTAATTGCAATAAATTCAGACAAGGATATCTCTATTATTTTTTAATGGAAGTCATTGCCCATAAAAAGGATGTAGAAATAGTCAACACAGATGATGCACCGGTGCTGCGACGATTGTGTTTATATCTCTTACTTGAGGAAAGAAAGCAGATGAATCTAGGTTGTTGGAGTACTTACTGTTTTGCACATTTATAATTCATGTACAACACATTCAAAGCCAGACACTGTTCAAAGGGAGGAACAAGATGTCTCACAAAAAACGCAGATAGCCTTTAAATAATTTACATAAAATCGTCAGATTAGGTGTGTTGTGCTCATCAAAAGTCTTTTGTCCCTACACTTGACCCATCGTGCACCTTCTGAATTAGCGCTCCAGCTGTGGCAAGTGTACCATACCTATGGACTAGTCACAGTTTGGTTTGCTGAGGTTTAGACACAAAAACATTTCGGTTAATTTGAAGGAAAAATCGCGATTTGGGTTGAAATAAGTATTTTGTTGAGGTTAGAGAATCTTCCCTGTCAGTGATGTATTTCAACAAGACAAACCAGAAAAAAGGAGCTTGTGTTGTGTGTTCACAAAGTTCTACAAAGAAAATTGAATATTTCTAACTAATGATGTCAAAACAATGCAGCAGTGGCCCAGGGAGGAGACAACCCTATATCCTTGTTCTGTGGTCGTCAGAACAAAGGGGAGCTTCACACTTCAAACGCTGTAGTCTGCCCTTGTTGATGTTGTGCTTGAAGTCGGCACTAGTGTTGTTGAGAAATCAGCATAGAGTGACGAATGCAGTGATATTGTGGCTGTAGCTTGGTTCCTGTGTCCGATCCAGCCCTCACACCAGCATTAGCACCACGTTCACCTTGTGAAGAGGTGAATAACACTTGTCACATACTATATGAAATTCATGTGCTCAGAACAACGGATGCAGTCTGAAGTTGTGCGTTGTTATTTATCCCAGAATCAAGTTGAGAGATTCTGTTTTCCGAGTCAAATGAAAACAAGTGATTGCTGATCCAAAGGCCACTCAGGGAGTACATGGCCGGATATAAATAGTTTGTTATTCAAACCATAAAGGACATCAACCATCAGGCCATGAGATGAACAGATGCTGTATCTCTCTCTTTTGTCTTTTCATCTAGATGCTTTCTTTGGCACAGAAGAAGTCAAAGTCAGTCATTTGTGAATCACGTTGTGTGACTCAGTGGCTTTGCAAACAGAGGCACATGAGGCATTTTGTTCTGTTGGCCATCTGCACCTCCATCAAGCTGGATAAACCCCCACTGATACCCTCTGGCAGGGAGGAGGCGGGCAGCAGGTGGAGTGTGGCATCCAGCTCTGATGATCGCTCCATGTGGGACATCAATGAGTCCTACAGGGGTAAGAGGACATCGGTGTGTCCTAAAGGGGTAAGAGGACATCAGTGTGGCCAACCAGGATCAAGCCCCAAGTCACTAACACTTCCACCCTGCTGAAGCACCCTTGAGCAAGGCACTGAATCCCTACCAGCTAAACAGATGTTCAACTTTCCCTTCAAAAAATTAAGCATAATTATCTTGTCTCCAATTTCTTCAATATGCAGCCTTCCATCTGACTTTAGAGACACAGCAGGGTTTAGATGTTTCATGCAAAACACTGGAATTAGCACAGCAGTTCACAGTCCGGGTGAAAATGAAAATATGGAAATGTTACGTAACATCAAAGAGGGAGGGAAAAAAAACCTTTGGACATATGCTCCACTGGAGATAGAGCTCACCGTGGCTCACAACCATATGGGACAGATGCCACTGCACCTCACATGTACAGATCAAACAGTAACTCGACTGTGTGTGTGTGTGTGTGGTTTATATCAGGTCTAGTGATCACATTTTAGAAATGGAATAATTAAATATCACTGTCAACAATTTACATGTTCCACCATCTTATGAACCACGAGCATTACATTTAACTGTGAACTCGGTTTGTTTGTTTGCTTTTGAGCAGGATTACACAAAAACAACTTGACGGGTTACCACAAAACTTGGTTGTGGTATGAGTCACAAAAGGAACAATTAAATATTGGTTCAGATCCAGATCAGGGGGCTTGGTGAAAAGGTCAGGCATGTTTAGGGAAGTCATTTCTATTAGTTTGTGCAATTTGGTGCAGTTTCAAAAAATACAGACCTGGGGAATTTGAATGTGGTTTCATAAGGGGGCTGTTTTGATAGGGTTAAAAGGTGCTCTAACTGAGATGACAGTGAACTGAGGAAATAACATCTGAGAAAAATAAATGTGGTCATCAGGAGTATCTTGGATCATCAGTCAGGGAAGGTACAAAAAAACACATTACAGAGTTATGGGATATGTGGCATTTTAGGTGGTTGAAACATTACATGTCTTTATTTTTCTAAATAAGGGACAAAAAGTCAGTCAAACGGTTCTTGTGTCACGATGCAGTGAATTAAGTGGAGTGTACCAGTTTGTTAGGGTTTTTTGTTTTAATGCACCTACTCTTTCCTTCATCTCACACATAAACTGCTCTCTGCTCCACTCTCCTTTACTGTGCCTTCAGAGCAATAAAGAAGTGCTGTAACACCGTCAACGTCAACTCGACACTTTTTTTATTACATCTACATCTCGACAGTTTTCTGAGCCTCTGTTGTCAGCATTGGAGTAATGAAAACAGGATTAAGTAAAGAGGCTGCCTGTTAAAGAACAACCGTGGCCTGTTCAAGGAGCTTATTGTCTATAAATCACAGGACTTCAATCATATACTGAATATAAAAATGGTCGTAGACTCCAGATCCAGAAAGTGAAGCCAATGTGGAAGTGTCTGAAACCCAATTATCTCAAGTGACCAACAGAGGCCGACTCCATTAGTCTATGAGAAAATGACTCTACTACTCACTTTATGTCGTCTCAATCGTTAGTTTCAAGTATTTTTCAACACAGCATAATGGTCGTTTTATAAATGATGGTTCTATTTAAAGTAATAATAATTAGGATAGTCTGTCGGTGATCTACTCCTGTGGGTCAAATCAGAGCTTGGGGACAAAAACCTTATCAAGCACCATTGCAATTTACCCAGACTGATTCCTGTGTCTCTCCTCACCATATATCTGTCTTTATACTAGTCTCCTAACCTCAGTCACATGTTGGCGAGGGGTTCTCTCTTCCTCATCCCTCCATCATGTGTCCTCTAACACACCTGCACACTGGCGCAGTGTAAGCAGTGATAATTTAGCCATTAAGAGGAAGAACCTTATTCATCATTGTTATTTCGCCTTCCAAATGAGTGTTAATTGTCATTAAAGCTGCTGCCAAAATATATGTGGTGACTGATGGGCGATGATTACAGCTCAATCTATCTTCCTCTACACTCTTTAGCTTTTGTTTGGCATTAAATGTATTTGTTTTGTAGGGAATTGAACTCAGTTCACGCACTAGTTTTCTGTTATATATATATATATATATATATATATATATATATATATATATATATATATATATATATACATATATTTACACATATATTTAAAAATATGCATATATGTGAGGGGCTGTCACAGAGGCAGGTGTAAGGATACAGAGTGAGTCAGTCAGCAGCAAATATACCCCACAGGTTTTCAGTGGTCATTTGTGGGAGATTTGTGGTCTCTCCACCTGGCCGAGCCGACCCCTCACACCCACCTGCCACCCTGCTTTCACCGTCCACGAGGATTGAAGGAGATTAAGTGTCTCTGTGGTACACCGTGCCAAATTAAGCATCTTCTCTCTATCTGTATCACTTCCCTCTGCCTTTCTCCCAGACTCCTCCAGGTCATTTTTTTCTCCTTCCTCCCTCTCCCCTCCTGTGCCCTCCCTCTGTTGTGTCTGACCACTGATTGCTTTTTCCTCTCCTCCACAAATCCCCTCCTGCAGCACAAAACTCTGCTTGTTTTCCTGGGCTGCTACAGGTAAAGCAATGCAGGTCCTTGGTTTAATAGCCAGGGACAAAGCTGTGGGGTTTAGCCTCCTGGATGTAACAGATGACACTGGGACTGCTGTGTTGAAGTATGAGGTTTACTTTACTTTTGTTCCATTTTTGCTTTTTGATGAAAGAGAGGTGAAAAGACACAATTATAATTTATAAAATACTAAAAGATCATGTGAATAAATCCAACTAAACAGCAGAGGCAATAAAGAATTAGTCACGGCTCTCTGTCAATGTCACATCAAACATGATCACTTTAATAAGCCGGCTTCTCTGGGAGAAAAGCACAGCATGGAAGGAATAATCGATCACCTCCTACTGTGGGATATCTTCACATTCATCAACAGGCCGATCGATGCAAAACCATTAATCGAAATGATCGTGTGTGCATGCGTGAGTGAGTGCACCTAATTGTGAACTTGCCCAATAACAAACTGTAAATCTGTCCTCCCACAGCCGCCCTGTGCTCTTGTGTAACATGAACGATCACCAGAGGAGTTTCTGGTAGGATTTTTATTTCAAGGGAGATCTGGATGATCGATAATCATCCGGCCGGAGAGAAGGAGGAGGAGGAAGATGAGGATTGTCTTACAAAAGTGCCAACCGTCAACGCCTACCATGAGGAGACATGCACCGACATAGCAAAACTCTTTTATTTGCAGCAATTGTTTTAACATGTTTAAAAATGCTTAGAGGTGTCAAATTTACAATGATTTAAATTTGACTTGCTGTAGCTACATTTAGACAAATTAAATATTGACTTCTGGGCTGAATGGTCAGTACAATTGCCAACATGGTAAAAAAACTAAACATTTAGGTATATTGAATCTGTAATTGTTCACAAAATTCACATGAAATTTAAAACAACCGAAGAACAGCAGAGTTGGTGAAGACGATGAAAATAATTATAATTGGAATCACTGTAACAAATCCAGTAGGAGTTTCTCCCTCTCTCTTTCACATTCAGCACTCAGCAGATTAATTTTCCTTCAGCAGCTTTTAATTACCGAGGTTCATCCCAAAGCACCAACCACCAGCGCTCCCTCCCTCCACTGCATCCTCCACGGCCTGGTTTTCAAGTCGTTTCATCAATGTTGTTCATGCTCACTGTCTCAGGTGATGAAAGAAAAACTTGTACTTAGCTGCACTAACAGCTGTAAATACACAGGTCAAATGATATAGCTTCAGTTGTTCTTACTTGAATATATGAGTTAATTACAACGCCGATCTGTTCGACAGAGAAGATTCATGATACAGCTCAAATCAAAAAGATTGAAGTACAAAAGAAACATCTCAGTATTGAACCATACGTGAGGCAGCAGATGATGAGTTGAGGTCACTGTAAGTCATGTCAGGATCATCATTATCTTGAGTCTGGACATTTTCCTCAGATATTCCTCAGAGAATGTCCCGAAAATGTCTGAGTGAGTCCAGGTGAGAATACAGCAGGAAGAAGTCTGGAAAATAAACAGTGAGCGGGGGCGTTTGTGTTGTATCTAACACGTGACACAGACACAAAACTGGAAATAGAAGAATCAATGAATATCTCAGGATAAAAAAATTAGTGATATACACGTGGAATGCAGAACTCAAACACGCCTATGTCGAATAAAGATAAGAGGGACCACGCTGGTGTCGACGTGCAGTAACATCTTATTTCCACAGCAGGATTCATATGTCATCTCCTGCTCTACTCATGCACCACCCCTCATCTGAATGTTCTGAACGTGTCTGACCCGAAACATCTCCTGGTACCTTCGTCATATGTGAACAGCAAACAGCTTCAGTGACAGCAGAGACTCTCAGTGTTCCTCTTATCTCCATACAGGTTGGCAACTCCTCACACAGAACATAAAACATCCTAATCCATAAAATTCCTGCTGAGGCCTTATGAGCTCTCGGGTCAGCCACCTGTAACACAACACTTTCTTCAGGCATAATAAAAGATGCATTAAGTCATCAATTCCCTGAAACAAGACGACGCAACAAAGAGGCAGCTCCTGGATTGTCTTTCAGAGGTTGCAGGAGCACAATCTATAGGAGGTTGATCTCAATCAGATCCATAGTATGACATCTTTGACAGGAAGAACTTGAAAGGTCTCTTCATCCATAGAAAACAGATTTTAATGATCACACAGATCACATCTGGATGTTTCGAGTGGTGTGGCGTACCCTCTGGAAGGACGAGGATAAACGACACAACTGTCAGAACAGAACAGCCGACAGAGCAAGGGATAAAATATCACAACACTTACATTATTATATTATCCCTCCTCACAACAGCTGCCGCTTACTGTCGACACAATGTTTTCCTCATTAAATCTTTAATGGGTTTCAGCATTTAGGGGGGAAAACAAAGTTCACATTGGTGACAGAGACGATTTGCTGGGATATAATGGAGGTTAAGTGGGTTGTGCGGCCCTGGAAAGTTTCTGATCCCACAAAGGAGCATTTAAAGCTTCACTTCATGTGAAATGATGAAATCACCACAACATGGTTACGCAAAATTCATACAGCAGCAGCAGCAATAAACAAGATGGAGTGCGCTGAGTGCTGTGGTACAGTGTGCAGTAATAATGTGAACCTGCCTGAGCAGACAACACAGAGGAATGAACGCAACCCGGTCGCGCCGCAGCCTTGGTTCTGCCAAGAAGACTGAATGCGAGACATTACAAGCAAATAAACTGCCCTGGCAGGACCCCTAATGCATGTGCATGCTGTAATATGCTTTGCTTCCCTTAGGGCACATGGGTATTAACATAGATGTCACATAGGATTCGGCTCTGCCTCTCAAACACATGCAGGCAAATGTAGATATTCCTGGAGAGTGATGAGTCAATATCAGCCCACAGGCTTCCCTCCCACAACAAACCCTAAATGTATTAATCGACAGATGGGAAACAGACAGGCATGCACACAGACAACCAACTGGATGGATGAGGTTCACAGAAATAGATACTGGTCATCTGTTCAGCTATCTACAACATGGAGGTCAAAGTGAAAAGAAACTTCAAGGGTCAGATAGAGGTTCACTATCATTCAAAAGTACATTGACATTTCAAACGATGCAGATGACGATGATGCTGATTTCTTATTGTAATGTAACCTCACCGTGAATTTAATACTTTTTTTTTTTTAAACAAATTCAGAACACAGGAAATGACTGAGCAGCATGTGAGTACAAGGCTTAAAGGGGAGGTCTGTTAAACACCCTGTGTCTCAATGTTAAAGAAATAACCCTGAAAACTAACAAGCAAATAAACGCAAATGAAAACATAACAGTAGGTCTCTATTACATTAACTATTCAACTGCAGTGACTAAAGCTCTGTAAATCATACATTCAAAGTGGTTATTGATAATCAGAAAAACAAGACGAACACTCATATTCAACAAAACTCTAACGCATTGATTTTTGCGTTTGTTCACATTCATTGAACTGAAGTGTGTGTGTTTGTGTGTGCATGTGTGAGTGTGGGGGTGTGTGTGTGTGTGTGTATGTGTGTCTCCCTTCATGCATGTGTGCCACAGAATACAGTTCGTGACTGCGCTCTCTGGAAGTTTGCCTAATCTCTGAAACACAAAAGAAGAAAAGAGAAGCGAGCTGTTGCATTATTTAATGCACACACGTCCATTGCCTCTGCTGACACGTGCGCAGCCTTTTGCGCACTTTGTTTGTGTTCGTGACTCGGAAAAACTCACCCAGGAGACTTAAAGCTCTGGGGTATTAAATACTGGCTTCCCCTCCTTCCTATCTATAAGTATATTCCAGACAGCTTCAAATCTGTCCCCTCACTTCTCTGCCTCGCTGCACTTCACAGACTCATGTGAACACACATACACACACACACAGACTCTCAGACTTATGACATCCTCTGCATTAGTCATGAGTCCAAATAAGAGCACATGAAATAATCATGGGACTGTATTCACAAAGCCATCTAAAACTAAAAGGTGGTCCTAATTGGCCAACTTCTAATAGCATTGTGCTTTTCAATCATTATTTTAAAAGCCCTTCTTAAAGCCATTCTCCAGGCATTGAAGCAGAAGGAAAAAAAAGATTTTCCTAAAGCTGTAGAGGAAAGATTTGATGAGAATAGAACTAATCACTCACACAGAATAAAATGTTGCCCACACTTGACGAGCGATAATTGTCGGAATCCATCACGGTGGCTGTAACATATCTCAATGGTTAAGAGATCACTTATTAAGTCATTGCATCAATCGGACAAATGCTGATGGTACAAGTGACCATTGTTTCTGGAGTATTGTTTTGTGTGACAGGCAGTAATTTCTTCTTCCACAACCATTACTAACACGTACCTTTCTAAAGGGGTTCCAGCTGAGTCGGTGTTCCCTAAAATACTTCACTGTAAAAGCTGCCATCTGAAGAGTTTCTTAAGAGGAAACTGCTCCTGACTCAGAGGAACTTTCCTGCTGCAAAGTATTTTTAGATAAAATGCAGAGCGAACAGGGACCTCGAGCACATTCAAAGGTTTTTGTTTAGCTGTGGATCCTGTAAACAGGCTTGCTGTCACAGGGAGTCTCTTTTCCAGGCTGAGATCAGAGTCATATTCTGTGTTAAACAATGAGAAAGTGTTTAAAACACTGGAAAATGTGACACTTTAATTAGAGAGGTTCTTTCTTTGTATATCTGAATCAGCCACACCATTAAAATCACATGTCTAAATTGTATTGGTCCCTCTTCTACTGCCAGACAAGCTCTGATCCAACATGGACTCCATAAGACCTCTGAAGGTGCACCTGTGGTATCAGGCACCAAGATGCTCCATCTTGGAAATTGCAAGATGGTCCCTTGGTGGATTGGACTTTTTCCCCCATGTGCTTTATCCAAATTGAGGACCGACTAATTTTTTGCAATGTGGCAGGTCACAGCTTCCTGCTGAGAGGCCGCTGCCATCACAGAATACTGTTGCCATAAAGTTACCACGCTCTTGGACAGCTATATGACAAATCCACATGAACACCAGGAGCCAAGGTTTACCAGCAGAATTGTACCCAGTACATCACTCTGCCTGCATCATGGTCCCCTCTCTTCCCAAGGTAAATAACTGTACACAAGGTCACACAACATCACTGCTCCCCATAACAGAATTCTGCCTACTCCATGTTACTAGATGGGACATGGACCAAACTAGAAGGTCAAGCTAATCCTCAAATATTTTTCTCAAAGATGATTTCTGTGCAATGCAAACAGATATTCAGAAGAACTTCTTTTAGTCTGACACCAAATCTGGCAGAATGGACCACCCCCTTTTTGAAAATAAAAAGCCCACCCCAATTCATGTTTCTTTATCCTGTACGTTTGGTCTTTATTACTTTTGCAGCTCCATCCCCCGATCACTACTTTACAGAATCTGGCTCCAAGTGCGAAAGATGGCAGCACACAAAGAACCAAGCCCATGATCCCAAAGAAAACGCATGGGGTATGTGATTAGCTGTACAACTGCAATTTACCAGATCATCATATACTTGTGTGTGGATATGTGTTCACAGAATGTTAAATACATATTTGTTGATATATCTATCACCCTATCACCCTTTTTTTCTTCCTATGTCCAGGTCCAGACTGAGAAAAGTTACAGAATTTAAACTATGGCTGCTAAAAACAATTTTATTCAAATCTACATTTCTCTCTGTCTGAAAATCCAAAGTGTCATTTAGGTTGGATACAAACCATAATCATCAGCAGTGAGGAGAGCAGCTCTTTTATTTCTAAATCCACAGCTCATAATTTCCCCTTCATGAAAACACTGGGCCTCGTGCACTGGATTCTAACAGTGTTTATTTGCATATCATTTTCTATAGTAATTGATTTTTAGTGCTTCATCAAACTCATTAACATACAGCCACATGCTGCCTCTCCGTGCTGAGGTTCTCCAACTGTTCTCCCATTGTTCTTTATGTATCAAACTCCTTTTATCGGTGCCCATCCGTGCGCTTGTGTGTGTGTATCTCTGATTTTACTCTCTGTGAATAAAACTACAATATAGCAGTTTCCTCCCAATAGTGTTTATCATGGAACATGAAGCATCCACAGGGATTTGATTACAGCAAATTACATTCATAATTACCCCAGACATTTTAATAATGGAGCTGATTAACGAATATTAGAGAGCATTGGGGAACATTGCTGATCACACACTGAGGAGAGGATGATATGAGCTGGGATGCAGAAGATGGATATGACAGCCAGCCATGCAAACGTTTACAAATACCACCTTTAAACTAGAGATGATACCATTTTTTCCTTCCTGATACCGATTCGAACGCATAAAAAAAAAAAAATGTCTATGAGCGACGGGTTAATAAAACATTTAAATTAAACATCAGCACATCTGCAGCGTGGCTTTGGCTGAGTTGAACTTTGACCTGTGATATTCGCTTTACATTCTTGTATGTGTGATCATGCCCTGACCCTGTACGGAAGTGATGACTCCTATCATTGTTGTATGACCTGGCTCAGCTTGAACCCTTTGACAAACAAATACATTCAGGAAACAAAGCCCTAGAGCTTTTACTTTCTAGTGTTACAGTCATAACTGAAACACACAAATAAAGAAATCAAGGAATGATAAACAAAAATGTCTGTTGAAGTGCCACCAAAGTTTATAAAAATAAGTCTTATAAATAAATTCTTGCAAATTGTTGCCATTTTACCTCTGGTTAACGCTACACTAACAGAAATTACTATTCCCCTGCTTAAAAACAAAACTTTAAACTGGTTTCACTGTTTTGTAATGGAGTAGAATTAGTGATTTCAGTTTTATCTGGGTAGTATACTTTAAAAGACTTAGTATCAGATCAATAGTATAGTATCATGACCTGGCATTTTCTGCCATATCCATTGCAGTTATCAGCATCGGAAAATCTTTACTTCAAACACCTATTGTCCATCTTTTCATCAGTTTTGTTTCAGAAGAAAAAAAGATGCGTGCACTGAATAGTTTCAAATAAAATATGAATGAAATTGAATTTAAACAAAATAAATCCTAAGTATGAATGCAAACAGATATTTAGAAGAACAACTTCTTTTAGTCTGACACCAAATCTGGCAGGATGGACCACCCACTCTCCTTCGAAAAATAAAAAGTCTTTGCCATCCAGTCAGTGTGCATTTATAATGCCCACCCCAATGCTCTGACCCTGCCAAAATTCTGCAGAACCTTAACCTGCGGCTGAGAAGCCCCTCATACATTATTCTGTGTCCATTTTCCCATGCCTGCTCGCTGGAACACTGAACTCTAATAGCAGCCAGGGGCTCACCAGCTCTCCGCGGTGGAGGCATTACCCCACCCAGTCCACCACGGCCAACTGAAGGGCACAGGCTGCAACCCGAGAGACAAACACAACACGCTTTCCAAAGCACTGAGCAAGCTCGGGGCAGCATGCTAAACAACCTGCCTGAAGCCAACAGAAGTTTCCTGTTTCATTTTGGCACTTTGCTGAAGCTGAATGGATGAATTCATTTGAAAAATACTCAGCTTTTGTGGGGATATAAATTGTTCCAGGCCTGAGGTCAGTCGGTGAAAGCCCATTATTTCTCTGTTTGCAAACATTTCTGTTGAAAGATGTTGTCTTCTTTCCCCTGTGTGTATGTGCTGGTATGAATGTGTGTATCGGTGTCTGTGCATCAGCGTATGTTGTATTTTGATAAATCTGTGAGGTGAGTGAAAATAATGGTGTGAAATTGTGAGTTATAGTCGATTATTACAATTCCCTTTCTTTGGCATACACTGAAAAATAACCCAATTATTTTCCAAGGTTACAACTTGTGCTCTCTCTCTTTTTAATCACAGCCCCGGAGTGAAGGAAGCCCGGCTCCAGAGCAACAATTCAAACCTAAAGCAGCACAGAGATAAGCTATCAGTGGAAGAGAGGCTAGCTTAAATAATTCAAAGTCCTCTAATGAAAGGCAAATCTTGATTTACAGTTGTCTAGAATATTCATGTGTGCTTTGCATAAACTTCCCTGACATTTGGTTGTAATTAATATGCATGTTGTCTTTTCTCCTGCATGCAGACACTCCAATGGACTACCACCATTATGATTGTGTGAGGCTGGTGAAATTGTACCATTAACCCAACGCCCAAATGAGCCCTGACCTCTGAAATAAACCCACTATAAAATGTTCCAGTGTTAGAATTAAAGCCTGATCACACCAGGATTTAAAAGAAAAAATATGCTGCCAAATTGATGAATTCCAATGGAGTTGTAGAAATAAGGGGTCGTATAAATCCAAAGTAATTTTTCAGATCAACTACAACTTGGCTCATGGAGGCAATCAGCTAAGTAGGATATACCAGACATCCTACCTGACCATGCTTCCTGCAGCATTACCAGGTGGTACGAGTCCTGAGTGGCTCTGACTGAGGAGGTAGAAAATGCTGGTCAACAAACCAGAAGGGTTGGCAGTTCTATACCCAGCTTCCCCAGTCTGCATTCCAAAGTGTCCATGGCCAAGACTGTCCCCTTTTAATGTGAAGGATTGTATTCCAAGGCCCCCCCTGGATGTCCAAAGCCCTCACCCTACCTCTAAGGCTGAGCACCCACCCCACAGAGAAAATTTCTAGTATTTCCAATCGTATTCTTTTGTAGTCAAAAGCCTTGCGCATCAGCTCTCTAGTACCAGACAACACCTGCAAAACAACTGACACCACACCGACTGTCCCTCATCCAAACAGAATCATCAAAACTTTTGGTAAGGGCCTCAGTGAATACCCAGTAAAGTAGTACTGAAAAGAAACAACAATCATTAAAATATGAATCTCTTCCATATACAATTAATTAGGGAGAAGACATATCCCCACTACAAGTAGCTTATGCATGATAGGGCAGCCTGACGTCAACACAATGTACAGACAACTTTTAAACCATGAGGACAGAGCTCAACTGTGACGTTTAACAGTTAATAATGTACCATGCGTCTTGTTGGGTCAGCTGGACCAAAGGTGGAAACTGCTTGAGTGTAAATGTTTCCAGTGAAGGAGAGATTTGTTATAGATAATGTTGGATTGTAAGACATTTTTATTTGGTTTATAAATCAGTTAGAAAATGTATCAAGATTGCGGTTGTGTGCACAACACATGTGGGTGAGTGTGAGTGTGTGTGTGTGTGTGTTTTGGGAGACGAGCCAAGGCCTGCCCGAGAACCTCCCACGCTAACTCGGAGTGACACTAATTAATGGCTGCTCTGATAGCTCCTTCTGCAAAAACACTTTGACAGTAAACAAGCTTTCAAGGTGAAACCATGACACTAATGTAATTTTTTAGCAAGCGGGGCGCTCAGAGGACCCATGATGTCCAACCATTAGGAAAACACCACACCTCTCATTCCAAATACTGTCCCCCATCTGGTTAAGTATGTTCTCCATTTGCATATAAGACCCTTTTGTCCCCTGAGCATAATAAAATGAATCTGAAGCACAGTGCATGTTCTGTGGGAACAGATGTGATGATAAGCCGAGCCCTGGTTCCTCATTATACTGAGACAGGTTCCCTGCTGTATTGGGTCTGACCCAAGTCACTGGTGTCAAGCTAAGAAGAAAAATAAAGCTTAATAAGTTTTAACTGAACCTTGGGGAGCTGATCTCTATATGCATGAGAGAAACAATGTGACATGATGAGAAAAAGAAAGAGCGCGTTCATTTTGTTGCAGCATGTTTACCCACCATTGCACATTAGAATGTATGGGCAGATAAGGACACATACGGCTTCACTATCTCTGAGGCAGTAATGATCATTATGTTATCTCCCACACTGTGCCTCAAACAGCTCCTCTGAGGCTAAGCCCAAATTCAATGCAAACAAGTCTTCGTGGAGGTTCAGAGAGAAATCTACAGGAGAGACGACCGGCACTCCTTATACCTTGTGCCTCTCAGCAGTGGAGATGCACGGTGTTCTCAGAACAAGACACACAGGACGTACAATTCCATCACTCCACTTATTATCAGCTTTTAGAGAGTAATTTTCTACCCACACACGTCCACAAATGCATGTTTTACATAAGCCCACGTTAAAATGTTAAAACAAAAGCACATTTGCACACTAGTGCTAAAAGGCAAGGATTACACACAGGCACCTGTCAGTCATCTGGTATATCACAGAGAGACGGCTTCACACCAACAACCATCAGACCTTGAAAAACTTAAGGTTATTTAAAGTGTAAATCACTTTCGTTGTCGGGATAATAATAATGCCCTTTAAAACTATTTGACTGCAAAATAAAAATATCCCTATTTCATTCAATCACAACCTGACAGGCTCATCTTGAGTTTTCTCTCCCTCCTGTCATTCAGCCGTCAGATCGGTACCACCCATCAAAGAGTCACCTACCTGCACCCCTGCACCACCTCAGCTCCTGGTCATCTCCCTTCAAATGGTCCAACTAGAAGCCCCTCATCAAACGTCCCATCTTCATGCACCAGTCCACATCACCACTGTGTCTCGTCTCCGGGGATAAATCTCCTTCAGATTCAAAGCACAACATTCACAGGAGAGTCAATGGTGTTTTACTTCCCGATGATGATTTGCCTGCCTGAAGCTTAGTGCTGGCACGATCGTCATAACGACAGAAATCACAGTTTCATGCTTGGGACCCACAATATAACATGCTGTCATGCTAAGATGCCATTCCAGCTATGAATACAATGCTAAAGAGAATTACAAGGGAAATAAAATCCACAAACAGTCGAACACACACCAGGTTTGCCAGCTGCCCAGCATCACATTACAACATGATTGGTAAGTGACATGTGCTTGAGTGTTTGTTTAATTGTTTGATTGGCTGGTGCCTCCGTTGCTGCAAGAAAAGTTGAGTTTCTGCCGTAACACAACACAGCAGAACCACAATGCAGTTCTGCAACACAGGTCGCCATCCCATTCAAAGCAATGTTTCTGTTGATGCCTTCACCGCTTGGGTCGGAATCCAACGTCAGCACCAAAGTCTGTTCATTTGTTCAATAACTTAAATTACAGATAAATAGGCCAAAACAACAAAAATGTGAAGCAAGTAAAAAATGTCCGGCCGTGAACAGATTGGTTACTGCCTGGATTTCTCTTCATATACAGTAGACAGTAGATGTTTGTTATGTCAGCATCTGCCTCCACCTCCACACAAACACAACAGAGAGGCCCCCCCTCACTGCACTGCTAATCAGAAGCAGTATGAATGCAGCATCTCGCCAGGCTTTTCCCTCGATTAGCTTCTTATCTCAGCACAGTGACAGGAAGATACACACGTGCTGCTCCACCCAGTGGCAGGATTACTCTTCAGCTGTGGTGGCAGGGGCTGCAGATAAAGAGATAGTGTAGTTTTTTCTGATAAAGCCGGACAGTCTATACAGGATGATGCATGAAAGCTGCAGTTGATCTCGCAACTGTTACCCAAACAGGCCGGAACTCCTCGACGAGAGCTTGCTGACTTCTTATACATCAGACTATCAGACTGTTTTCTCTCTTTACAGAGGAAAAGCTCAATTCCCTCTTTTTACCTCTCGCTTTCCTCCCTGTTCTGCTGCTGCCTCTCTCCACAGGGATCTGTTACAACTGAGTGGTTCTCTAATGATCTCCAAGTGAGAAGCAGAAAGTCATCCATAAGCATGCACATGGTCACAGTAACACACCCGCTTACATGCACGTGTGTGCACACACAGGATACACACACGCACACACACACACACACTCTTATTTTAGTATCCTCAGGGATAATTGTTCTCTCACTGAATTCCCATTAAAGCACGGAGTTGTGTTGCGTAGCTACATTTAACTGGTGTGCCTGTGTGTGCCTGTGTGTGTGTGTGTGTGTGTGTGTGTGTGTGAGAGGGGGGTTGCAGGGTTGACAGGTGTTTTAAGGGGATGAAGTGCAGCAGACAGCTCGTCAGTTGGATTGAAAGTCAGTGTTTTGTGTGCATGCATACATGCGTGTGTGCGACATGGGAAGTGCTGTGTTAACGCTTGGGTGAGTGCGTCGAGGGCCTGTACATGAAACTCCTCACAGCATCCAGGGAGAGACAGAAGCTACAAGCAGTTATATGGAGGGAGAGAGAAATATCATGGCCTATAGAAACTATGGTCACCTGAAAAGGAAGTACACAAAGGCCGAGTGAATTGCGCTTCAGTATTTATAACGTAATTCTATATTACTTATATTATTATATACTCAAATATAACTCACCAAACAATAATAATAAGAAAATAATAAATTAAGTTCAGTATTGACTAAAACACTGTCAAACATACCTGCCTGGCCCAAGCCCTCTGTTCCTATAAATAAAAAGATTTATATATATAGTATATCTATAAGAAGTGAGGCCTAAAACAGAATACATAACAGTGATGACAATTATAAATCAAACAGTGACCCAGTATTTAATCCACAGCTGTATTGGTGGCACAATATGTAACTTTAACCACTAGGGGTCTCTCAGTCAACACAACACCAAAAGACCAAGTTTGTTGACATCGAAAAGCAGCGTGGGCTCATGGGAGTTTTTGTTTCCAGCACCATTGCAGATGAAATTGAACCTGACATAACTGAGGCGAACATCGTGTTCACGGATGAGACCATGTATTAAAGTTATTTCCATGTCATGCAGCAAACGGTTATGAATAATCGCAAACCATTACAAGTGATTACAAGAGATGGGCAAAGTCAGGGCTCAAGCAGATGAAGCGTCCAGTTAGCTCGAATAAAATTGTGGATTCTGGGTCAACACAACATATAACATAGATCTAGGCCTTTTTAAACATTTTAATGAAGAATTAAATATTAAATCTTTAACATCAGTTAGTAAACTATATTGTATTAATAATTTACTCTGTCTTAAAGAGTTTTAATCACAATGGCTAGTTGGTCATTAAACACAGTTCCATCTCAAAGTGTAGCTTTGATTAAAGTGATTCATGACATGCTTCATCTCACCTCTAAGACATAGTCAAAGGTTTCTGCCTCCACGTCATTAAAGTTGTAATCATGCGGGCAGAAGGTTATTAGTTAGTCACAAACAAGTCAGACTACATAACAAGCAATTGTGCCTGCATGCTGGGTTTTAGAAATACCAAGGTCCAAAAACTGAGTTTTGTCCCAACCTCACAAAAAATTTGATTTCTCCAATCTACATTTTAAAATGTTAAGAGTGCAAAACATAGATAACAATGGTATCCGCCTGGTAGAAACCAATAAGATTGATCTCCCAGGTTCCACTATATAATTAACACACAGAACATTTATCTCTGTGGTAATTAAACCTACACATTTAATTGTAATCAGTGTCAGATAGGTTGTGTTGATCAGCACAGGGACATAATGTTACTCATATCCTGAGCACAGCAGAAAGTCAACGATCAAAAACAAGAAGAAAAGTCAAAAATAAATTAAATAAGCACATTCATATGTCAACAAGACAGAAAAATCCACTTGCTTAGACTTTTAAAATAAGAACGAGTAAGATTGAAACAAGTGAAATAAATGTAATCTTCTGGATAAGACTCCTCAGAGACAAAAACAATGATGAATAGATTTTCCATTGATTTAATGCATTTCATGTCACTTACATTTTTCTGCCCTGTGACTGCTCTTCTCTCATCTTCTTCACCTCCTCTCTTTCTTGATCTCCTCATCTCGTCCTAAGTTTTTTATTTCCCAGAACTGAGCTGGGATTGATGCTGTCTTTTCAGACGGTGTCTGTGAAAAAAGTTAAAACAGTTAAAACAATTATTATAATATATTAATATGCAAATGTTAGCAGCCTCTGCAAAGGACGACCTGTGATTAAAAGAAAAAAGAAAACAGCCACGCATGTAAGAGGGGAACCTTATTTTAACATGCATTTCTATCATGGCTGGACAGAGGACAGAGCCTGTCGGTCACATGATGTCAGTGGATCAACGTCATTACACTATTAACAGTCCTGTGTTTAAATCCGTGTGTTTCCTGTATCACGCTTCAGTGGATTCTGTTTGTTTACATAATCACATGTTTAACATGGCTGGCTGTACTTAAATTGTATAATCCTACACTCCTCCATGTTAGGGGATGGGACAGGGCCCAAACCAAAATAGGCCAAGATCGTGTCAAATAGTTTTTTCTCAAATATGGTTTCTGTGTTTTTAGGTGGTTTAATATCACACTGATGTTTGTTCATATTGTAAGAGTGAATTTGTGATTAGTTTTGCATTTTGCATATTTTCTCCATTATACTATTTACACCCATTTAGTGTTTACAGTAACGTAAAGTTCCCTCATAATTGAATATTCTATATTCATCATTTTAAATTGGTAACAGTTATTACAGCTTCTCAGCAGGACTGTGGCTCCCATCCACCCATAGCTGCTCATATAGTGCCAGTGATGACATTTAGGCTCCATGTCACCGCAACATATTATACCAGACTTAAATCCCCCACTGCAAGCAACTGGCAAGTGCAGTGAATTGTGGGGCAATGCGGTGCAGTGCAGTCAAGTCGGTGCACGGCCAGGTGTGGTTCGCTGTCTCCACCCCTGCAGCTAGCCTGAGGCTCAGCTAACTAGCATGTAACGCATTTAGAAATTTGAGAATAAGTAGTAATTATTGCTCATCATTACTCTCTTATATCAGGATGTTGCAGCGGCATCAGGTGAGCATGTTCAAATACTAGAGCTTTAAAATGAATCATCTAAAACATGAAAAATATAAATCTTACATTCTCATTAAAAAAACAACTAACTATTGATTTTGTTTTCGTATTTCTTAGTCTGTGTTTTTCAGCATCTGGTCTGATGTAGAGTTTGTGGTGTACGGCATGATATGGAAAAAGAAACAATTCAGTTGCATTCAACTAATTGAAAGTATTTTCATTTTGTTGGAGGAATTAAAACAAATATTGGACACAAAGTATTTTAAGCTTTCACTTTTTCATCATTAAATCATTGATTGGATGTTAACAAGTTTCATCAGCTCAGGTAGTGAGGGGATGCCTGTGCAAATATGTCTTGCTTTAATTTGCAGATGCCTCTGGAGAGGTACTGATACAAAAAAAAGAAAAATCTGCCTAATTTTCTCTGTACAACACGATTAATACGGAAAGAACTGCTGTTTTCATGATGCTATAATCACTTGGCTGCTGATGACAGGGGAACAAACATGGCTGAGAGAGTTTTGGAAAACCCCCTCTTCAATTAGTCATATGAGTCTGGACGATAACTTGTTGTCTCCCCACATCTGAGCTGAGTGGGCTATCAAATCCTTCAGGCCCAGTTTCAACAGCTCATGCCATGGTATTAGACTGCAGGCTGTGTTTACCCCGCTCTGCCAACAGCGTCATTGGCAGCTTGTGGCCCAGTGCGTCCCAGCACACGACAGTTAAAACCCTGAAATGGTGTTGGGGGAAGCGGCAACACCTACTTGTGTAAATCCCCTCAAAGCCACCACATTATCTCCACGGCACGTATAGACTGCTGAATCATGAAGCGCTTCACAAGGAACATAAGCGGGACAACATGACAGTGTGTCTGTGTCTTAGTCATATCAACACATGATGTCGTAACAGACTTATACCGTCAATCACTGTGAAACCTCTCACCTTCAAAGCTCCAGTGTTTGAATATTCATTGTTCATGCGTGTACAGAACATAATGACATTACTGGCTGTGCTGTGACCGGGGGGGGGGATTCGATTTGCTCATTTAGTGGAAAAAATTAAGTTCAAGCTAGTTTGATTTTCAGTCATGTAATCTCACATGCATCAGTCGTTCAAGGGGCTTCTACTGATCACATGAATCATTTAGATCAAGAGGAAGTATTTCCCAGCTCAGCAGCTGCTTCTCACACTGATATCTGAGTAAAAATGACCAGAGATGTCAAACTGCACATGAACAAGGAAAATAAAGGCAAGTATTTAAACACGTAATATAAAACTTTGGCCACTTCTGGTCTCCCAATCAAAACAAAACATCTTGGGTGTGTTCGAATATCTCATTTTGCTTTGGAACCCTCCTGACTGAGTGTAATGACCCAGAAGTATTTTATTGGCTGCCATAATAAGAACTGTTTAAATTCTCTAAATGATAAGGAAAGGAGCTCTATTATTAACATAGAATACATCGGAGCATCCTTTATGAAACGTACCAGAGAAGTACCCCACTACACACAATCCTCAGGTACTACTGTGATGTCTCTGATTGGAATATGTATCACTACTGTAAACCTTGAAATCCAGAGCTGCTATAAAAGTGGACAGTCAGTGTAAGGCTTTATAGCAAAGAGGGACAAAGGCATGACTTGAAGTTGATATGATGCAATTTAGAGGCAACAAAAAATTAACATTGCATTGAACATAATTGTGATTTTCTCTGGGTTTGAACATTGTTGAAACATTTTTGGGCAATTCAACAAAATATATAATATAGGTATATGTCTACTTAATCACAGCATCTGTTGTTGTCGTCCTCTTGGATATAAATATCATCAATCACAGCAGGAGCTGATGTTAATTGTAACGGCCCCTATTTGTTGGATTATTGAAAAGACTTTATCATCGTGTAACCACATCAGGTACAGGATGTCACGAGAGAAGCTTCTCTGAATAATGATTGCATTAAAAATAATAATAAGCCATCTAATTACAATTAAGTGTGGACCTTTCTGAGGGGATGGTACGAGTCAAGGCAGCATGATGAATGTTTCTGTTAGATTAAAGACTAAAGTCTCATATCGATGTCATAACATGGCTGTTTTTAGACGCCATGCACTGCTGCATGTCATCTTTCTCGCCATCTCTCAGTTATCTAAGAGGCTGGCTGAGTCATAGTTACAGCTCGATGGAGATTCATACAATGATGGTTATCAAGTGTACCGGAGGTAAAAATTGTAATCTCATATCTGTTCCAACACCCACACTCATCTTCTCTCTCTCACACCTGCTTTCCTTCATCACCGCCTCTTTACTGCTCTGAAGACGGGTTTTTCCTTCAGAGAACCACATGTTTCCTGTGCAGGGGGAAATATTGGCATTTATATTAACAGTGATCAATGTTGACTCATTCTAATCACCATGTCATTTAAACGATTTGTCAATATAGTGGTTTTAAATATACCTTGCAAAGTGATTCTGTACAGTGATTAAAATAAGTCCTGCCACACACCTCAAATGGGCAAATCAACTATAAAATCTCATAACCTAAGAGAAAGATGACAGTGTATGACATCCATCTGGAAATCTTAAACAAGCTGCAAGTTGCATTCACACCATTTCATAAAAGAATGGATGGAACACATGAATATATACGATATGAACTGAAACTGGAATTAAACTGGGAACACTTGGATGTGAGCAAGAACACGATGGACAATTCACCTCTAATACCAACAAGTCAACTGGCAAAATAGCATTGGTCCAAGGTAACATCATGGATGGCTACATAAAAGCATTGAAGAAAAAATACACATAATATTGGTACTTGAACTAACATTAAACACCCGTATGACTAAACTGTATCTAACGTAGCTTACTAAAACATGTTCAAATGAACGTGGTGAGATATTTAGTTTAGTCGTGCAAACTAGCTCGCTAAGCCTCTGCAGCCGACATCATATACGTGACTGTGATAAACTGAAGAATACTACAAATTATTTGCCTCACAATAAAAGAGATAAAGGGTAGTGAAGGTGAATTTTATGTATAAAACTGAGGCATTGAGAGAAAGAGTTAAATTCCATCTGCAAAGACATAATATAATGAGAAATGGATATTAAGGCTCAAAGAAACACATTTTTGCAGGTGCCGAACAGATTTTTCATTTGTATTCACTTGGAGTTGCTCTGTCTGATGCTTCTTGGCATGTAACTAAGTGTGTGTGTTTGTGTGTGTGTGTGTGTGTGTGTGTGTGTGTGTGTGTGTGTGTGTCTGTGCGCACACCTGTCTGTCTGCTGACCCTCCACGAGTGCATGCTGGTTTATTTGCCATATGCCGAGGGCTCTCTGGAACAGAGGCACCATCATCTATTCATCAGGCCTGCAGCAACCGTGTCTGCCTGTTTCCCTGATCCAGGCTTTATTTTACACCTCAGACACAGACTAAACTCCCTCTCAAAACCCTTGTTGACATAAAACAGGAGCCACGACTGTAAATCCACAAATGCTGCACTGTTGCCAAGTCCCATTGGTCAATATGTTCCTTGTTTTAAATCTGCGGTTTTGTTGCACCAAGCCATTTACAGCCAGATGAGAGATGGGTGTTAGAGACTGTAACTGAAGTGAAACAGTATAATCCAGATGAGATTAAAAGCCATTTAACACACACCTATCTATCTGATCAATAACAACAGTAGTGACAGTGATGGACAGTTATGAGGGGGAAAAAACAAGGAATCATAAACAACAGCCACATTAAGAGACACCACCATAAGTCTTTGTCAAATCCTTACACTTTCATTTTCTCGTGTCCTTCCTTATTTCCTTTACTGGTGGACCAGTGGGCCCGGGTATCGATTTTACGTGGACGACTAATGGGCACAACAAAGGTGGCATGGGGAGAGAAGAGGGAGAAAATGAGAGGGAGAGGGGATAAAGAAAGGATAAATAAGAAAGACAGATGTGGAGGAGAGGCGACGCTGCTGCACGAGGCTGAAACGGGGGGGAGAACGGTCTCATAGAGCTTGGGGAATACTTAAATTTTAGTTTTGTTTTTTATATTTGCTTTGTGTCTGCATCAATATATTGTTGCATTAGTGACACAACATGAGGCCAAACAGGAAAAAACACATTATATTCCAACTGCAGAATGAAAACAATAACATTTTCATTAAGTCTTGTAAATGTTTCCATTATATAGTAGAAATGCACATATGTACTCTAGTTTGAGGGCTTTTGATTAGTTAAATTACATTGAATTGTTACTGATGAAAAGCCACACCAGTGAAAACATAATATCAGGACCCTGGAACGAGCTCATTCCAACTGGCTGTAGTCATTTTATTCCTCGACTCAGACGATAACCAGTCTGTCCATATGTCTGTCTCATGCTTGTGAACACGATATCTCAAAAACGCCTTGAGACAATTTGCTCTTTGAATTTGGTGCAAATGCTCACTCAGACTTCAGGATGAATTGATTCAGTTGTTTTTATGGTCAAAGTGACCTTTGCCCTTTGACCATAAAAACAACCATCTTATCAACACATATAGAGAGTTTCTTTAAATTGGGACTAAAAGATGAACTAATTGGATTATGTGGTGGGAGTCTAAGGTCAAACTCACTGTGACCTCATGCTCTTGTGAACACCTAGGAACACCCAGAGGGAATTTCATTATGTCAGGCAAACCTCCACTTGCAAACATGAATTGATTAGAATTTTTAGGACAAAGGTCATGTGAAGATGTTATGATTCCTTTTAAATTTGGCAAAGGTCAAAGAGCAGTAATTTGAAATGTGTGTGGACTGAGATATAAAGATTGAATATAGATACACATTGGATTTTAAGGAGGAATAAAATCACAAAGCAAAAAACACCAGAGGGTCAGATGAGTCTCCTCCATCAAGAGCTCCACAGGCTGAAACGTCAGATGAAGAGGACAAACACACCGAGAGCGAGCCAGTTGGTGAAGTAGTCAGACATTGATCCAGGTGCAAGAGTCAGAGGTATCCCTTTCTCACAGAGCATAACGCTACACAAATGAGTCTCAAGATAGCTGCCTCCTTCATCCTCTAATCCCTCCTACCGCCTCCTACGACCCCACACCTGATCAGGTCTGCTCCTTCCTCCTCAGCTACCCACAGGAAATCATTACATCCATTGTTAAACTTTCTTCCAATCTCCTCCGTCCCCGGAGCTCCACCTTCTTCCAATTAGGAAGTGTGCTGAAGCCACTGCATCCCTGATCTCATCCCTCTTCACTCCCACCTCTCTAAAAGCTGCGGTGACTAATGACAAAAGCCATTTAAGACCATGCAGCCTGTGTAAATATAGTTTTTACAAAATGTGAATATGAGCTGCCTTACTTTTGAGGTTTTGCTGACACTTTTTCTGTCTGTGGTTAGCTCGTAATGAATGTGCACTGTAACGTAGGGTGCCTACCTAGCGACCTAATTTATCAAGCAAAGGCCAACAGTGTCAAAGTCATTTCCACATGAGGTGCTGCCACACAGCGAATGAGGCTGTAATGTGCAGGTAGAGTCGTATGTATTAGTATTCGCCCCAACGTCTAGCGTGGGAGAGCTAAGGTCAAATCAAAGAAACAGGCATGCACAGGCATGCAGGGAGGATAATTCAAGATGACAGGTCTGCCATCGCCAGAAAATACGGATTTATTTTCATTGAATACGGTGTGAATATTTCAGGGGTTTTGTAATGGAGTAATCTCAATACTGTTGCTAAAGGTGCAAAGTGCAGCGTATGTGGGTGTGACCAAGTGAGCCCAGAAATGTGCTTTTCTTCAGAGCCACAGTATTTTAGCTCTATTTTGAGGAGGAAATGCTTTTTTATGAATAATAGTGACAGTGAAGGTGAGGGTTGAGCTGCGGTGCTTCATGGCAGCAAAACAGTTTATTAAAAACCATGGAATAAAGACCTGAAGAGGTGGATGACAGCCAATCACTGACTGTGACGTTTGGAAGTGTTTTTGTTTTTATTCTCGAATTTTAAACATCTCGAACATCCAACAAGGCTGGAATCCCCTTCAAATTTAATCAAGCAAAAATCATATCAGTCCCCTAAATACGCCTGATTTTCTTCCTCCAAGAAAAGTACTCATGCCCTGGGAAATTCAGAAACATTTCAAAGACACTCTATTTCACAACAAAATGTAATTGGCTCATTCGTGTCTCATCATGTGCATAATCCTGCAAAATCAGGTCAGTTTATTAGTTTGAAACAGTTCCCTGTGTAACAGAGCTGCTGTGCTGCCCTGGTTTACATACTGTTACTGTCACGTCCACAATCACATGATGACAAAACCAATGAACACATGGCATTCATGAGACTTACAGGTTGGTGAGCATGTAGACAGTCGGGGTGTCCAAAAAAAAAAGCAAAGGTGAGGTCGAGAAAATTCAGTTCAATTGAGTTGAAATACTGAACATGCTGACACTGAGGGGAAACAGGGATTAAATACACGAGCTAACAAGACACAGGTGGAACCAATTAAGGGTGGGGCAAGTATTCACAAAGACAGGAAGGCAGACAAAGACAGGAAGTGAAGTGAGAAACACACAAAGGGAAAAAACTGTAAATGAAAAACTCAAAGAAACAAAATAAAAGCTGTGTTGCAACTGTAGGAAACTCCCCAGAAACCTTTGCAGGAATTTTTGGTGTTTTCACCACGGTGACCAAGTTCTAAAAGATACGGTGAATCTCTTCACCCACAAAAAAGTCCCTGGTCAGGGTGAAGTATTTTATGAAAGTACTGGAACCTTTGGGGTGGGGCTTGCATCAATTTTTAAAAACCTGTGGCTGCAGTTTTTAAATATATACAGTTCTCTTGTATCAACACTAGGGTGTTAAAGATATAAACCCAAAAACCAAACACAAGGAAAGCAACAAGGTCAAATCACCATAAACACAATGAGTCTAACAAAAGATCAGAAAAGACACAACATAAAGTCCAACCTAAAAACATCAGCAGTTTCCTCAAAACATCACAAAGGTGGGATCATGGTGCCAGCCCCACCTCACCCACAGTACACACAAACCCAACTGAAGAATCCCTTTCATAGCTCTACATTTTTGACCTGTCATGAAATATGAGTGATGTTGACAAATTTAAATTCCTTGTCTTCCATGTCTCTGCTCCTATAGGACATAAACAGGACATTATACAGCATCAGCACAATCTAAAACCAAGTAGAGAACAGATGCCGGAGCGTTCAGAGGAAAGCTGCTTAAATGACAACAAGAATCCCTCGGGCAGGATGATGAGGAAGTGGAAGTGCTCCCTCTCTGCCGCTGATCAAAGACGGTATTTGGGGGGGGGCTGTCGCTCACAGTCTCAGCACTTGGTTTAAATGAAGTGTGATCGCCTTCTTTAGGATGCTTTCACGCACAGTCAGCGGAGTGAGAGAGGAATGCTCAAAGGAAAAACCAGACAGAAACTCTTGAAGGTGGTTACACTCGAGGACACTTGAGTCAGTCACAGCACTTTTTGCTGTTAGAATTGTTTCAACCAAGCGCTTCCTCCTTAATAGACCTTTTTCACAGCAGACATCCTGACATGTGACATTAGGGAAAGCACAGGTGTAAATAAAGAAATGTTTTGAATACAGCAGCTTCAGTTTCAGTATTGATTTTAAGAATCTTTTACTTGATTTTAAAGCACTTCAATGGTCATGCAGCAGCATACATGTGGCATGTGCTTACAGTGTATGACCCAGCTCCTTATGTCTACTGGTACGAGTCAGACAGCTATTACAAACACAAAGACTATTGGTGAGGCAGCTTTGATTATTTCTAAGCTCGTGGAGGAGTCTACCTGAGGAAGAGCAGCCAGAAGTGTTGAAATATTTAAATGCAAACTAATGTCCTATATCTCTAGCCCAAAGTTTGATTACGTACGGTTTTATAGTTTATATTATTAGTGTGTTTGTCTGCTTTATTGGATTCTTTTTCTATTTATCGTAACTTCTTTTATTATTTTCATTGTTATTTTAGCTTTTAAAATCCATTCTGTGGTTTTCACATATGCAAAAGAATAAAGATAAGTGTGATGATTATTTTGTTTAAAGTGGCTTAAAATAAGATTTGAATTCACATAAAGCTGTATTAAATCACTATCTATCATCAAATGAGGGTTACACAATGTTTCTGTGCCTATTGTCCATTGATGAACTGTGTTTCCGTGGTAACACTCAAACGCTGCAAAAACATTTATTATGAAGTTGTCACAAGTGTTTGTTAGTGAGCTTCAAGTTAGAAAAGTCAAGTACTGACTGATTGGATTAAAACAACAATAATGTGTTTATCTGCCACCAGAGTTAAGTGACCTGTGGTACTAAACTACATTCTCTGTCACCAACAAATACAGTAGGTGTCCCCAAATCAACCAGGACTGAAATCAGACAGGCTGATACTCTAAACTTTGTGTATTTATTGTTTTCATACTTTTTTTCATCAATTTAGGGCGAGTGGGTGAAAACTGTGAAAATATTGCCCTGGTTTTATGAAACATGAATCATTTAACACAGTGGTTTTCATGCCAAATGATTAAAATGATCATGATATATGGGTTCTCTGGGCTTACATACATGTGTAATATCTTTCTGAGACATTTCTCTCGAGTTTTTCTTTCACAGAGAAGTAGGAGGAGAAGGGAAATATTTACTATATTGTAGTGGGTCCTTGGCTGAGAAACAAATATTGCTTTATAAGTTGTAAATTACAACAGGAAGCTTGGAGGGTGTCTGCTTTATTTACATATTAAATCTTGACAGTGGCTGACTGTTGGTATATACAAAGAACTATCTCCGGTATAATGTTTACTTGCTGAATCGGGCGTTTTAAACTAGAAGCAACTACAGTTCAATTAATGAGCACAGCAGCAAGAGAGAGAGAGACGGGGGAGAGAAGACAGTGCCTGTCTGTACGTGCTCTGCCTGGGAGACAGATGTTGTTGTTAATGCATCTGTTTCAGTGATAATTACCACCTATAAAAGATTACAGGCACATAAAGGCAGTTTTCTGGAAGCACACAGAGACAATTTCAAATGCCACCGAGTTCTAATGACCTGGCATGACATTATCCTTTCACAGCTCATCGCAGGTTCCCCTCTCCATGTGAGGGGGGCAAACTTCAGAGGGAACCACCGTCAACACAAATGTACACCCGTCACGTGCCAATAAGACTCACATGCGTGTTTAGGGGGTCTGATCGTGCCGAGGTGCTGTCAAATTCACCTCCGGATTCAGCCAAGGTGGAGGAGGCCTTTTAAGTGACAGCATCAAGGATTTGTGGATACAGAGCCAGTTAAATTAGGCCAAGGCTGAGGAGAGGATGCTCAGCGTGATCAAAGCCGACACTGATACCGCTTTGACTTCTGCATGTTGCCAAGGCGAGGCGGATGTTTTCAGAGACAAAAAGAGAAGAAATTGCATCCGAGGTTTATCTCAACAGCAATTATTCCTGATCCTGGGACAGAGAGATGGAGGCAGGAGAACAGACAATCAGAAGCCGAGGCTGTGGAGAGAAAGAGTGAGTATAAATACCCAGGAAAACCCAGATACAGTTTCCGGGCTGATTAATGAAGAGGCAGCGAGGTGAAATGAACAGGAAATCAAGGAGGCTGAGGATGAATCCTGTTCTCTGATCTCCAGCATGACTTTGAGCGCTCAAAGCTGCAGCAAGCACGGTGACTCACAACTGTTTCCATCACCATAAAACACAAAGGAGATGGAGTTGTGTTGTTGTCACCATCACAGAAGGAGGGAGGACTCAATGGTGGGGTTCATACACTCTTCTCTCAACCCTCTGGATACAGTTAAACACTTCAGTCAGCGAGCTCTGTGCAGGGAAAGTGATGGCACCACGTTCCTTTATCCTCACATGACCAAACTCAGCTGTACAGACTGCACGTACTGCCAAGCTGTGGTCGCACACAGTACTGCGCCACAGTGGCCTCATATGAGGACAGGACAAAAAACGCAGAGATATGAGACAAGCCAGAGAGAGAAGGGGCAACATCCTGCAATGATCCAAGGGCCATGAATCCGATTAATAGTGCGAAGTGAGCGCTAATGCTATTTATGCTCAGAGTCAGCGCATGGATCACTGAGATAAGCGCCCTCGCTAAATGCAGAGGCACATTCAATTGTAAATGGCCCGTTATCCAATCAGCCAATGAGGCAGGGGCATGTGTTCTGAGCGACAGACACTCCAGCTCTGCTCTCAACTCTCCTTTGGGTTCATTTGAGGAGCAGCAGAAGTTTCATTTCAAGTTTTTTCTCTAATTCTTAGATATTACAACTTTGTCATTATGTCAGAGTCACGGCTGGAGACGTTTCCAAAATGCATCTTGTAATATTGAACTTGTAATTGTTGTAATTGTCGTCTCAGCTGAAGGGAAAGTCGGTGATAGCTCATTTATCTACTGTTTGTCTTCCCTAATGAAACCCGGAGCTTCTCTCTTTGCTTCATCTCTCCTCTCTGTTCTCCGAGACCAACAGCCTATCAAGATTTGTGGGCTCGTACAAATTTGTTTGAGATGTTGGAATAATGAAGCTCTGGAAAGAGAAAGCTCTAACTTTGAAGCCCCTGTTTAATGAGTCACAGTATTCAGACCTGTGGAAAAATGAAAATGAGGAATATTTTTCTTATAGATTTCTGGAAAGCAGCATGGAGTTTCAAATTGTTTAAATCCATTGAACACATTAATACTTCATCAGGACTGCACCAAAATCCTTAAAATCTTTATCTATTTGCATTCTTTCTGTTGTGCTTTGTTTTCCATCAAACAAATATATTGAAACCCTCAGAAATGAAATATGTTTACACCATTTAAAACAGAAAAAAAGAAACATTTGTCCAATTTTAGATTGAAGGTGAATATGTTTAATTGAAATACAAATTTTACTAATACTGAGCAATGTTCGTAATAATCTTCATCTTTCCTCCATTCCTCACACTCTGATCTTTCCATTCTTGTTTTCCTCTGACGTGTGTATAAAAGATATGTGTCAGAGGAAAACAAATGATGGATGACTTCAGAAGATGACTTCGCCTTCAGAGGCAGCAGGAGCTACAGTGACGGGCTGCACACATGACAGCTTTACAACAGCCAGAGCAAACTGACAGTAATATCTGGCTGTTCTCGCAGGAGATGGGAGGAAGACAGGCAGCTGCAGCTTTCAGTTCAAACACAGACACAGAGAAGAAGCATCTCAGCCAAACTCCAAACCGACAGCGGAACACCTTCCTTTCCTCGTGCACACACACTTCCCTCTTCTAAACTGTGCTCAAATTTAAATAACTGTATCCTGCAGAGCTGACAGCATGGCCATAGTCTTTCCCCTGGGCAGTAACATTTTGCAGCCACTGGTTTTCTTTTATACATCGTATAACTCAAAAAGGAAATCTCCCCAGCCTCCAACCCCCTCTAGTCTCTAGACAAGCACTTTATCTTCCTGTCTACAG